GGGATTCTCTCTCCGCTCGTTGCTCTCATCGACGAAAGGCTTGAACGCTCCTATAGATGGCACATAAGACGCAGCGTAGCAAGCAGACCATCCCACACACCTGCCGTCCTGTTAGATGCGCCCGCGTTCTCGTTGCTCGACGCAAAGGTCAGAGCGGGTAGCGGAGGCGGCGACATCGAATGGTTCACCGGCCTCGTGGCTGCGTACTTGCTGCCCGGGACGCCTTGCCTGATCGTCCTATCGGGCGAGTTATACATCCCGAACACCTCCGCGAGTGCCTCTTTAGTGTTAATCGTGACCGTCGGCTCGTTCAACCCCATACTCCTTCGCAAGAGGTAATTGCGGCTGGACTTCGTGCCTCCGTCGTTGAAGTCTACCGTCAGAGTGGCGTCGCGCTTGAGCGCCGATGGCGCGGGCGCGGGCTTCGGTTGGGGGATGGGCTTGAATGGCGGGGTAGGTAGAGCCCACTTCTTTCCCAGCAGACCCATCGAGCGTGCCCGCGCTTCCTCTAGGCTGTATTCGCCCCCTTCCTTCGGCAGCAGCGCCGACAGGTCTAGGTGGAGCTTCTCCGGTCGACGTGTCTTCGCAGCCGGTTGTCGCATGACAGCATGGCGCTCCGCAGCCGTCGATTCGGTGTAGTGCGAGATAGGGGGGCCGGAAGAGGAAGAAGAAGCGGCGGAGGGAGCGACGGGTTGCGAGATGGCCGAGACCGATATGGAAGAGCCGGGCTTTGCGGATGGCTTCGAAGACGAGGATGGCTTAGCAGCGTTGATGTGCTTGAGAGGGTCCACACGAAGGACATCGGTCTCGGGTGTTCCCTTGGTCTTCGGGAGAACGAGGCGAAGCGGCGGGGGCGGGAGTTTGTTAGATTTACGTTTGCGGAAAGCATCATACTTTTCCTTGAGCCTCGCGGCCGGCCGTGCTTTCCGCTGGATGCCAGCCTCGTAGACCTGCTCCGCAGCCGAAAGGCTAGGAGGGGGCGTCAGCTGCTTAAACCGAAGCTGACATACAAAAAGACTCGTGGCTAGATTATGCGCGAGCCACGGGGACGCTGATTGCCAAAGGCCGATCAAAAGGCAACTCACCGTTTCTCCCTCTCCAGCGCGTCCGCATAATCTTCATATAACTGCGCGAAAGCGACTCCGATCCCATGCGACAGGACGAATTTGAAGACGACGGACGGACGGTCGACCAGAGTCGCATACGTCGACCAGAGCCGCAGATATCTCAGATCGCTCTTGTACGTCGTGTCCCTGACAAATTTACGCGCAGCCTCCTCCAGGACCTCCAGCAGGCTGGAAACGTGTGCGAATTCGGGAGGGAACGCGTCGGTTATCCAGCGGACGAGGCGCTCGTACAGCGCGAGCGGGTCGTCGGCGTTTTCGAGTTCGACGACGAGCTGCTGGCGGCGCGCGGACACCTCGAGGGAGAGCTGGGAGATGGCGGGTGGGAGGCTGGCGTCTTGCGTCCGTTGCGGAGCGTGGGCCATGGTGGTTCGGCTCGAAATGCTGTCAGGTCTTGCCGCGCACACACAACACGTGTCACGTGGGCGCGAGGTCGAAGTCCGGCAAGGATCCGGACTTGGAACGGACCGTGATTAATGCAGGATATCCAGCCGTCGCGATTGTGCAAGGGTTTTTGAAGAAGATATTCTCTGCGAATTCTTCGACTACACTACTACTGCATGGGTCACATTGGCGCTGCTTCGATTAATAGTCGGGAATCCAGTTTGTCGCTGTCTTTCCCAAGTCTTTCCCTCGCGTGATGCGCCAGAGATTCAGATGCGCGTGTATCACATTGTACTGTAGCGCCCGCATCTCCCGGAGTCCGCTCAGACTCTCCACGGCGCCGTGATGGCAAAAAACGAAACAACACAATCGTCCGAAGAGCTGATCGGGGCATAGGACGAAAGACGCGATTCGGTGTTTGAGAGAATGCCACGTGGGAGGGTCTCAGGCTGATCTACATTTCTCCCACCGCATTCGCGCGTCTTCGGGCTGACGCCGTCGTCGGTCGGGGCTGGCTGCTGGGCCTGTAGGAGTACATGGACTGGAGTGTACATAGGCTACACAGACGGATGAGGACGTAGAGAAGGGTCGGAGGGAGGGGAGATAGAGGGAGATGGGAGGAGGGGCTGCGGAAGAGAGAGTGACGGAAGTTGCGTCGACTTTCAATCGGGTTGGCACGGCGCCGAGTTGCGTACGATTGGAGGCCGGAAGATGGCCAGCCCTTGACGCGAACGCACGGACCATCTGGGCCACATCGCCCCTTCCCGTCCTCGTCGTCCTCCCCGCCGACCGCCTCGTCGTTCCTCCCCGGCTCCCGCTCCCGCTCCTCCTCCCGGGTTTCTTTCTTTTCTCTTGTGTGCTGTAAGAAGATGGACGTTGACCAGGCTTCTGCGGGCGAGGCCGGCAACTCGAACGAGCTGACGTCGCCGCCGTCCTCCCGTTCGCTGTCCGTTGCCTCGAGTCCGCGCTCGTCCCACGCGCCTTCCTCTCCTGTCGACGTCTCCGTCCCCCTTCCCTCCCCTCCTTCCTCCGCACAGCTCGTCCCTCCCGCCGCCTCTCCCGCCGCCCCTGCCACTCCCGCCGCCGCTTCCCCGGCCGGCCCCGATGTCCCGCTCCCTCCGACCGACCACGACCCCGACGCTCCGGCGACGGCCGCCCCCGTCCCCGCCGACGCCGCTCCCGACGACGCCCCGTCGTCTTCCAAAGCAAAGCCCGTCAAGCGCCGCCGCCGCTCGCCGTCCCTCTCGCCGTCGCCGCCCCCGCCCCCTCCGCCGCTGACGACCGTCCGGCTCGACATCGCGCTCGGTGGGCCGGACAACTATGAAGTCAACGTACGCCAGATGGCAAAGGACGTCGGCCAGCGCCCCGACACGCCGCCCAACTCCGTGCGCCAGTACATCAGCGAGAGCGACAGCTCCGACGACGAGGCGGCGCCCGCAGGCACGAAGCCCAAGCGCAAGGTAAGCCACGCTTTCCCCGCCTCTGCTCCCCGCCCGCTCACGCGCGATGCCACATCACCGCAGAAGAAGACGCTCGCGTCGGAGTATTACGACGTCACGGACCCCTTCATCGACGACTCTGAGCTCGCCCTCGACCAGCGCACCTACTTCGCGCAGACGAAGCAGCAGGGCTTCTACGTCTCGTCCGGCGAAGTCGCGCTGCTCAAGGACCGTTCCGCCCCGCCAAAGTCCAAAGCCAAGCGCGTCCACCTCCCCGCGCCGGAACCCATCGCCGGCCCCTCGAACTTCCCCGGCGCACACCAACAGCACACCATGCTCGGCCGCCCCAAGCCCACGACGACCCCCGTCTCGCACGCGTCCCCGCCTGTGCATGCGCCGACGAGTGGCGCGGAGAATGGTACGGGCACCGGCACGGGAACGCGCGACGCGCCGATCGCGATCGCCAGCGACGGTGAGGATCCGCCGGCCTCATCGTCGGCGGCGGTGGCGAAGCGCAAAGCTCAAAGCACAGACGGCGGTAGCGCTGGCGTCAAGAAGCGGCGCAAGGTCGACATGGACGCGTTCCACCCCGAGCTGCGCGATGCGCTGCACGAGCTACGGCTCGCGAAGGAGAAGGGTCCGTCTCGTCCTGTGCTGTGTCCCCCGTGCGAGCTGACGCGTGGACGCACAGAGAACTGGGACGTCAAGGGCAAGTTCCCGCCGGGGATCAAGCCGCTGTTGACGGAGGTCGCGGTCAAAGCGATCAAGCTGAACCAGTACGACGACAACTTCTTCAACTACATGCCCGAGCTCTTCCCGTACAACCGCTTCACCATGAGCGTGCGTCTCTCCTGTCCTACGCGCGCGCGCGGCTGACGGCGCGCAGAAACTCATCAAGCGGCTCGTGTATGCCGACCATATGACGCTGCTCGTCAAGCGCCAGGACGAGATTCTCGCGGAGCTCAAGCAGCTCGTCGACGAGGCGTGGCCGAAGATCCGCGAGGACCACGACAAGGCCTACCGTGCGTGGCGTGCGTCCGCCCGGCTCTCTCCGCGCCGCACCCCCTCTCACCCCCCCCTCAGTACAGAAAATGGAGAAACTCGGGCTCTCGACGGACCCCGCCACGCTCGCCGCGCACTCGTCCGAGAGCACGCCGCACCCGGTCGCCGACAAAGACGGCGTCGACGCGGGCGCGGACATGGACATCCAGATGTACCGACCGAAGGAGGATCACGTCCCGTCGGCCCCGCAGCAGCGCTTCAAGCTGTCCGAGCGCATGAAGGGTCTCATATGGAATCTCGTCTGCCTCAGCAACGAGTGCTGCCGCATCGAGAACGAGAAGAGGTGCGTTCGTCCCTCGCTTTCCCACCGGGCGGCGCGCCTGATGCCGGTCTGAAGCACGCTCGAGGGAAACACGGCGCAGGTCAGCGAACAGGGCCTCCGCAAGGTGCTCTACCAGAAGATCGTCGGCGTCTTCCCCGACGGCTGGATGAACTCCGGCCAGATCTCGCGCGACGGTGCGTCCTCCCTTTCCTCTCCCCCATCACCGAAAGCGCTGACGGCCGCCACCGGCAGTGAGCGTCATCAAGAAGAAGCTCGAGAAGGAGATCGCGGACATGGAACAGTGATTTTTTTTTTCCTCTGCTCCACCGCCTTGCGGGAGCCACTATCGTTATTCTCGTCCACGTCTGTTCTGCCGCCCATCCTAAAGCCGCTCCTTTCCGCCGCCACCTCCTTGCGTCCTTTACACTACACCCCCACTGTGCTCTTTGTTGCTCGTCGGACGCGGTTTCCTACGTTTAGTCCTTCTCACTCTTGCTCTTTTGTTTCCGTGCGGTTGTATAGGCTACAAGTAGTTGCTCTGCTAGTGTAATATCGAACGCGCATTTGCTACCTTTCTCGTGAGAACGCCGTGCCAGGGAGCCGAGCCGGTCGCCTCGAGGCATATTTTCCGAATCCGACGAGGGGATCGAAGGCGATACGTGCGTGCTAGACATAGCCATTCGAGTAGGACAAAGAGGACATGATAAAAAATCAGCGGTTCCTAAGACTCGACACCAGCAGGATTCGAACCTGCGCGGGGGAACCCCAACAGATGGAACTGAGCATTCGAATCTGTCGCCGTAACCACTTGGCTATAGTGCCGTATCAATACCGCAGTCGACGATCGTGAGAGTCCCATCTTCAACCCCAGTCAGTCTGTACGCAGATCCGCATACATGTTGTGTATCCCCCCCCCTTCCCGACTGTCCATCCACAAAGCAGACACCCCCGCCTCCGGACCACCCATCACCGCGCAAGCACGCAGATCACCTTCGACGCATCCGCACGCGCTCACGCCATATCCCACTCGTCCCAAATATCGCTCCCCTGCCGCCGCGCGCCGTCTCCGTCTCCGTCTCCATCTCCACCACCTCCACCCCCATCAAGCGCGCGCGTCTGAACAAGCTCCGCAACGCACTCGCTCAAGCCGTGCGCATCCTCCTTCGCACCGCGCATCGCGACGACGAGCGGCTCGTACTCCGTCGCGCCGCGGTGGAGAAAGCGGATGTCGGCGCCTTCGATGACCTGGGTGTGCGTGTTAGCGGGGAGGTGGGGAGGGGAGGGGGGAGGATGGGAG